AAGCTATTATCTCTCTTTTTAATGTCAGCATTAGAATTAATTACATTGAAAATCATTACATTTGCCATTATATAACTTAAGTGAGTTTTTTTCAGAGGTACTTAGATCTGATTGATATTCGTTTTTGGTTTAATTATGCAAAAATGGCTTAGCAGATTTTTATGGTCATTTCACCACGTTTTTTTAACATATGGTTTATATTTCTGAACGCTTAGGTGATTACAAGTCCCATCAACGATCATCCGTGCGAGATGCGTAGGACACAATGCCCCTCTGATCTTGGCTTTCTTCTTATTTTGTTTTCACCATTAGCCGCCAAGTGCGAGATGAAAGTGAATTAAATGTATAAGCTCCCCTCAGTATGGAGTGAAACAGCTGCGCAAAATCTCCATGTGGAGAAGGTGGAGTTACAGTCCTTGTTCCACGAGGCTAATTTATGAGGTGCCGTGTTCAGACTAAATTTGGCAAGGGTTAACTGTGACTAACATTTTAAAAATATTTTGCCGTAAAACCTCTTAAACTCTATAAAACGTTAAGCAACATTGCGTCAGGCTTGGGCAACTCAGCTCTAGAGAATCCCTGGTCCTTCCTCCGCGCTCAGCCCTGCAGACTCACGTGCACGTGAACGACACAGATCTCTTTATCCCTGCCCACACTTAACGAAACGACCCGGGCAGGACAGATGGGAAGAGCGGCGGGAAACCGATGTGACCAGACACCCAACCTCCCTCTGCACCTTCTTGCCGTCATCTTCACAAATGGGTTCAGCTGCACAGCAGATCATGTTCAACCCAGATGAGGTGAATCATTTTAAATTGTGAATTTATAGACTGCGCCCTGTGATGGATTGGCGCCCAGTCTTGGGTTGTTCCCGACCTTGTTTTTGTTGCTTCCGGGATGGACTCCGGACCCCCGTATCTCCGCATGGGACAAGTGGATATGGAAAGTGAATTAATGACCTTATGGACAGAGGATACACACATTCAAGGTAGCATGTAATGCTACAGCGTAAAGGGAGCATTTGTACTGTTTCTAAGTACTATTTTCTGTTGTTTATACCACAAACACCATCATATATGTGCATGTGTATTAATTAATAGAAGCATTTCTAAATGATGATGTAATATCTTTGCCATCATTTTATAGAGGCTGAGAAACAGAAAGCGCAGCAATAATGGAATCATTACATCATGTTCACCGACTGTGCTGAATTTATTGCACCTACCAAGTAGGGTAAGCATAACATGGGGGAATCTGCAGAGAGCGATTACCAACTTCTAATGCAGGTCGGAGAATGGGATAGTTGTTGTTTTCAGAGCCAAGAATATAGTATGTGAAACATTATTCATGGTAACAGACTTTACATCCCAGCTACACTAGGCATAAATTAACAGATTTAACAGTTGTTATGTTGTTCCTTGGCGCCGCTTAACAAGAAGAACTGTATTCTGAAGTAGTACCGACAATGACAGATGGAAACTATGTTCGTATAGTAATTAGAATAGTAAGTAACGGTAAATCTGAAATGAGACATGAAAAGCGACACCCTGGCTTTCTGGTTTAATAATTGTTCTTGGGACTCCTAAACTTTTGGATCAAATGTGACAATCTTGAGTACTGTCCCAGCCATCTGTCCAAGGGTTACAGGGTCTTCCAGTTTCCTCAGTTAAGCATACTTTGGGCCTGGTCACCACTGGGAATGAAGCCAGCTAATCAGGCCCAGATCTGCAACTCCCCCCCAGTCCTCTCACTTGGAGCCCAGTATTTCTTACCTGTTATTGACAGTTAAAAAGCTGCCACATCCAATTACCTGGGCCGTGACGTGTTGATGAAGAGCAATAGCCAGTGGGAGCGATATGACTGGGGGTGTTGCATGCAGAATGCTGTCTGTGGTGAGCACGTCAGGGTGTTTCACTGGACAGCCAGATGGGATACTGGGTAACACAATGGAAACCTTTGTGAGCGTGTTTCCTCTTGGTCTACAGATATTTCTCACTCAATGTTCTCTGCCTTTCTCATTTCAGTCCTGCAGGAGATGGATGTCGAAAACCTGAAAGATATAACAACAACAGAAATGACTTTCTAAAGTGTTAACCTCTTAATGGCACACAAGCAGTGTGTGTTTTGGAAGTCAATAAATCCATATTGTGACTTGCTTAACCCACTTGGAAATACTTCTTAATACATGTACATAATATAATAATAATCATCATGTTGTGCTTGGGGATATCGGTAAGTGTTTTGGATTAACAGTCAACTTGTCCTGGTCATGGTCTGCATAATGGGCTCTGCAATCTGAGTGGCTCTTTTTATCCTCAAATGAATTCATTAATTAATTGAATGAATTAATGAATGAATGTTACATTTATGCAGCATTTTCCAAGAGACCCAAAGTGCTTGACAGAACCAATGGGGAGTCACTTCAATCACCCACTTGGATGATGCGACGGCAGCCTTTCTGCACCAATACGCTCCCCAGACAGCAGATAAGGTGGTGAAGGGGCAGGAGAGAATTCACTAATTGAACTTGATCATCAAAGAAGAAATTACTCTGAAGGAGGACTGAGGGCCTCATTATTTGTTCCAAATCTGCATTGTCCAAAGTACACAGTTTTAATATGTCAATGATCCTGTAAGAGTCTATGAACACATCTGTAATTCATCACTGTAAATTAATCTTCTGGGTACCATACGTGTTCACTGAGAGTTCAGACTCAAGGTCATACAGGATGTCTCCAAACTCCAAACAATGCTTGATAAAAGAGTCTTAGGCCACAAATATGTTCACTTAATTAAAATTATTTACAGAGCTGGCAAGTGTTAAGACCCTTAATAAGAACTAATTTAAGATCCCAAAACAAAGCATTATTCATGAATAAAATAGAAAATAATGCCATCTTTGATATTCATCACCACTATTCAAAAATATTTTGGGTGCAACATAAAAGGACTTATCATTTTTTATGATTTTTTTTACGGAATTGCAACAGCCAGACAGGAATGCTATACAACATTTGGTGTGCACGTGTGCAGTATGTGTATATATAGGTATATCTAATATATGTGGTTTTTCTGTGCTAAAGAAATACTTTTGATTATATGTATCATTTACATAGCAATTTCCGGCTGCATTTGCATTTATTCATGCTTAGCATTAATTTGTTGAAAGCACACAGTGATTTAATACAACCCAGCTCCACACAGAAAAACAAAAAGAGTAACTGTTACCTAATTACATCCTATGGTAGTAATATTGTATGAGGTAATAGGTATAGTAATCTATAGTAACAAATACATCAAGACAGTGTATGAGAGCTAAAATAAGTATATATACAAACATGGTAGATTAATTAGTCTCACATGGAGTAAGTCTCTGTCTGAAGAGGTAGGATTTCTTCTCCTGAAGAATGGAAGAAATTCAGAAGTTCTGATTCATCAGTGTGATATGAAACCCTTCGGAAATGACAGTGATCCAAGCTTAAGACAACGATGTGCGCTATAACTAATAGCCAGCAAGAGACCAAGCTCAGTCGTACAAATGCGACATCTCAAGCTTGGATGTTGGGATCGGGAGCAACTGCGGCACGTCTAAATTCCCCTGTGTTTGCTGCCGCGTCTGCAAACCTCGCCGCACAATGTTCAAGGGGTGAAGGCAGAACAGTGCAGGACCTAAAGCTGCAAAAGTTACCTTCACATCCTTATGTCCTTTCTGTCAATCAGTAACAGAACGCGTCTGTCCCAAGTCGGTTAGTCCGAGCCACCGAGTCCCGTTGGGCCTGTCTCACTGGTACATCACTGATCATTTGTGTAAATCACCAGCTTCTTATATCCCTGGTGTCTCAGTGTGTATCCAAGAGACAGCAGCCTACTCTCAGAATGACCGGAGTCGGAGTCAGTGTCGACCGTTGGCCACCACAGGCCTCCGAAATCGCCATTCTCTTAAACAATCTCCCGCCAGAACAGCCTTGGGCCTAATCTTAGAAGGCTGACAAAATGCCACCTTTTACTCCACAAGGGGAGTTTTGTTTACCACGAAAACATGAAGTTTCTCAGGCCGGTTTTTTATTACTTGCTTTTGCACGGTCGATTGAAGCTGCATATTTTCACATACTCACCTAGTTAGATGAGCGGCGAGTCAGAAAACAGCCGCTAACCCATCCAGCCTTCTCTCCTTTGAAAAGCAATCGGTCGGCTAATGGACTCCCTCCCCACCCGCCCATGCGTATCTAGTGGTCTTGTGCGGTCAACGGCTTCCCAGGTGTTAATTAGCACCAGCGGTGGGGTGGGTAACGAGGAGGGGGGCACCACGACCTTCTCCCTGGACACGCCCGCGGTTCGGTCCCTCCGCTGCGGGAAACCAGGCTGATGTATTACCAGGCTTGTTTTACATTTGGATGGGTTTTCTGGCTTTTGGTGTGAGGCAATGAAAAAAGAAGGTTATAAAAACTCGGGGATTGAGCCAGCCAAAGTTTAAACATTATTCTGCGCTGACTGTTGCAATGTGCCAAACCCTTCCTCGGGTCGACCCACTTGTTGGTAAAGTGGAAAGAACATGAAAGGGATTGGCTACGATTTGCTGTAGCATTGCACCCAGTCGTTTGCTGCATTCCAAAGCCAAAGTTCAAATCCCACTTCTGCTATATGGCTGTGTGATTTGTATGTTTCTGTTACCTTTACTTATTTAGCAGGGTCATTCGTTATAGCAATGGGGGGGGCAGGGTTAAGGGCCTTGCTCAAGAGCCCAATGGCTACATCACTCCCACACCACAGGATCTGAACTGGCAACCTTCCGATCACAGTGCGGCCCTAACCCGCAGAGACACAGGCCATACCATGTGGGTTTCCGCTCAGAGTTGTTCAAACAAGAGTGTTTGGGGCACATTTTGTTACCAGGTGTATGCATGTGGGTGGTAATTGGATGAGTACCTCTCTGACTGGATCTGACCCCAAAATGTCTATTAAAAATGATCCGTAAACGGGATCTTTGTCCTTTCTTTTAGGATCAGACCCGGAGCCTAATGTCTTGGCCACGTTCTCCCAGAATGTCTCCAGCAGCGCGGAGAAAGGTGGGAATGTTTATGTAAATGTTTGTTTGTTTCGTTCCAATCAACTCCTTTTGTTCCTAGCGCGGAAACATCAGGCCATGTAATCAGCGGCACGCATTTTCGCCTTCGCAGACCCTGTAGCATCTCGTGCTGACGGCGTTACGTTTCCACCTTCTCGGACATAAGCCTGGGATAAGATCGTCTGCTAAGAGAATGAAACGTAAACGTAAATCCCGTTCAGCCGTGGCTCCGAATTCACGCTGGAATCATCCTTTCAAAAAGCCGGACAACTTTATGGACCATGACCGGCTTTGCGTCTAATCCAAAGTCTCGCAGCCGGGAGACACATTTTATATCTTTCCTGTGAAAATTGCTGTAAAAACCACTGAACAAATATTCTCACTTTCTTACGGTCGCTGTCAGACAGATGTTTCTGTTTGCCTTGTTTTATCGTTAGGCTGTAATATTGGTGTGAGTTCAGCAGCAATATGCTCCGAGCAGCTAGAACATGTCATACCTGTTACTAACCCTGTAAAATGCACAAAAAACTCTGTCACCGGTCCTATAACCATGTTTCTTCGGTTCTTGATTTTCCATACTTGAGCCTATTAGGGTTAACGGGCTTGCAGAATGAACAGAATGATTGGGCCGAGGGACTGGAAGGGCAGAGCATAGCTTTAGTGTACTAATTCGCCGCTCATTTTACTTTTTTATTGTGCAATTTGTTTTACAGAAACAATACAGGATGTGATCTCCCTGGTCCCGGGGGTTTCAGGTGCAGCTGTGATGTTATGGATATATTCAGGCTTTATACTGTATACCCCACCCCTTACAAAAAACATTTGGTGTCACAGCAAAATCATTAGTTTAAATTTCAGACTGCCGTTGTCGGCTTTCTCTACAGTATTAACCAGTTTCCTGAAACAAAGAATGGGTGTCTTGTGGAAATGTTGGCTGGTCCTCAGATGTAGCTCTTCTGTTGCCCGCTAGTTAATGTAGTGCAGAAATATGCAACTTGCGTACGAATTGCATTGCACTCTTATTTTAAAAAATTGTGGATGGGGCAGCGCATGCAGTGATTGTTTTTCTAAATCGTGCCTCTAACAAAAGTGCTAAGGATGGCTGCGAATGAAAGGTATTCTATCAACCAAATTCTTTTTGGCTTTTTAATTGACTCTATTTAGATGCATACATGCATCCATCCCTCTATCCATTTTTAGTTTTCACCCATCTGTTGATAGAATTAGTTTTCACCCATCTGTTGCAGTGGGATATGAAGTCTGTTGCAAGATTCATAGGGCCAGGGGCAAATAGAGGGGCGGGGCTTCAAGGCCACTGGCCCCAGCTGCAAGTTGATTGGCTCCTGGAATGCCCGTCCCCTGTCACTCACCGATTCAAAACACACCATTGGCTAATGGTGAAGTTGGCCCCTCTGCATGAATTATGCTTCTTTTTATGGCCCCCACCTTTAAAACATCTTAGAATTGCCCCTGCATAGATCAAAAACCCCATCTGAAACACACTCAATCAGTAATTTGGAGCAACCGGTCCACACACATAGTATAACTTTCTATAGACTTTTTTTTTGACAGATTTTGGGGGACCACTCTATTGAGCCACCCCCCGTTAAAAATGAACTAACTGCCTACTACCCAAGCCACCCCCAAGACAAGTCACATCCCAGCTCCCGACAGACCTGAACCAAATAATCCAGTGATTGAGAAAACCGAATATCTGGTATAGGTGTGTTTGGGAGCTGGGACAGAGCAAAAACGTGGACCATCTGTGAATCCCCAAGGACTGGACTGGGAAACACTGGCATAGATAGATTGACTAATTTAAAGATGATCCCTAAACCTGCATAACTGAACATTCAGCCACAACTAGTTCAAGGTTATTCACTTCTGTAAATGAATTACCTTAGTGTATTCATATTTTTCTTAGCTTGTCATATACAAGCTACAATATGCATACAATATATGCCAGGAATTATTCTGTTCAAACAATGTGCGTGTGCATACATCTCAATTATCTTCACCACATATGCCACAGGAGGCAAGATATAAAAGGCCATCTAGCCTTTAAATCAGCCTTAGGTAAGATGAAGCCAAAATTTGCTCCACTTCTGCTAATGTCTCCAAACAGCCATTAATGCATGATTCATAATTCAGACATGAGTAATCGTGTGAACTGGTTAGAAGTAATAGTTTCCTAGCACAGACATTTTAATCAATTTAATGCTTCTGCATAGCCAGGATTTGTGATTCAAGATTAGGGGTAGTGAATGAGAATTTCTGTTTCTTTATTTAATCATTTTAGCGATTTGTCAGTGGTTGGATTGCTGATTAGAGAATAAGACCCAAACAGTCAATGATGACGTTCGTCAAACATGAAATAATGCAGGAGAGACAAATTCCTTATGGATGAGAGTAACGTACAGGCGGGCCCCAGATTATGGACAAGATCCGCTCCCTACATCTGTCTTTAAGTTGAATTTGTGTGTGACTACGGGCTCCTGGGCAGCACAGTGGCTCAGTGGGTAACGTTCTTGGGGTGAGGCTTTGAAATCCGCCTCTGCTCTCCTTCAGGAGTTCGCCTGTTCTCCCCACATCATGTAAGTTTCCTTTTGCATTGCAGAGCTAGGCAGTTAAGTGAGTTTGGGTTTTTAAATTGCTCATAATGCACGCGATGGGCCGGCGTCACATCCCGGACACATATGTTAAGAGAATGAAACGTAAACGTAAATCACGCTCAGCTGTGGCTTCAAATTCATGCTGGAATCATCCTTTCAAAAAGCCGGACACCTTTATGGACACAAGGTGTTCCCCTGTATTACGCACTGCGCTGCCACATACAGTTCCCCTGTATTACGCACTGCGCTGCCACATACAGTTCCCCTGTATTACGCATTGCGCTGCCACATACAGTTCCCCTGTATTACGCACTGCGCTGCCACATACAGGTTCTAGGCCAGGAGTAGGGCCACCTGGTCCTGGGCTGCTGCTGTCCAGCAGGTTTTGAATCCTACCTGATGAGTTCCTATCTGCCTGAGATCAGATGTGGTCATCAGAGAGCAGGTAGGATGGAAAACCTGGATAAAAGCTGTCCAGGATCAGGCCTGCCTACTGCGTACAGGCCAGCTTCTGGCACATGCAAACCTTACTGGTGAGAGTTTGGAAGATGGCTGGAACCATTTTGGTCCTCTAGTCACTGGTTAAACTTTATAATCTAGCTCAGGGTTATTCAAATCACGGTCCTCGAGGTCCGAGCACTGCTGGTTTTCCAGCCTTCCTTTACCTGTCAGTCAGGTGTGAAGCTTCTGGCTAATCAGAATCAGTAATTATTAAACTAACTACCTGGGAGAACTGAAAACACTTTGGAATATATTTGGAATCGAGGTCCAGATTTGAAGAACCCTGATCTAGCTATTACAGCATGTTGGGATATAATATCAGAAATTAATGGAAATCTTTTTGATAGACCCAGACATATTTGAAGCGATTTTGCTCAAACTGTGATCACAGTTATTACAACTCTTTCCACTTCGTGGGTCCATGGCAGGAAATGTAGGAAAGATCAGATTCATTGGCTCAACGAAGGAAGGACTCGCCACAGGAAGCCTATTTTTGGCAGGTCCTTGGTCACGGTGGATGTGGGATACCGACACCATGCAGAGCAATGGGAACCATGACTGAGGAGAATGAGAGAAACATCCCGTGTCACATGACTGCAGGGGGCGGGGCTGGGAGGGCGGGGCTGTTAAAATATGGATGAGTATAGATGCCGTTCCCACAGTCCTGCAGTGGTGGCTCCCAGGTCCTGCACCGTCTGCATTCTCTGAGGTCACCGCAAGACGTGTCGGCCTCTCCCGCGGTTATGAAAATGTGCAGTTACCGTGTTTGTTTTGGCGTACGCACAAAACCAGGAAAACGTCTGGCGGCACATGACAAGCTTTCGGGGGCGAACTTTCCGAAGTGTTATTCTTTTTTTTATGTGACATAAGAGTTTTTAGATGCCGCCTGGAAAGATGGCATAAGGGCTGCTTGTCATCGTGAAGACGCTCGTAAAATGCCTCGTAAACAAGTCTTAAAGGGCCGTGGGGGGGAGACACATTGGTATGGAAACACGGGCGTGAATACATTTGTTTGTTAGAGCAACTTATAGAGAAGTCATTTATCTGTAACTGAAACGGAAAACCATTAAGCTGAAATTCTTTGTAGAATGAAATTAGGGGGGATCATATGTTTTTGGAAGGAAAATTGAGCTGAATTGTGTGAGGGGTGAAATATGATTTACAACTGTACCGTTACAAAAAGACCCAAATTCTTAATTAGTGGGATAATAATAATAATAATAATAGTAATAATAATAATAATAATAATAACAATAATCTTGTGAGGGAATCCTGAGATGTTTTTATTGCAAATGTCGGGCAGTGTGGCTCTGCATGTTAAGATGCCATACCATGATCAGAAAGTCAGCAGTTCAAATCCCATGGTTGGAACAGCAGTTTCACCATTACGTTGTTGAACAATACCCATAAACTCAAATGCTCCAGGCATTGTCTGACCCTGCTTTGTTAAATGTATATCACTTTGGATTAAAGTATCTGTTAAATAAATCTGAAGTACTCAGTTAAAACGTTACACCACTAAAAACATAGTGGGAGCGAGTTCACATTGGATCTACACGGATCCAGCAAAGGCTTTATGGCCTCAGGTCAGGAACAGGAGGTCTTTAATTTTTATTCTTCCACTAGACAGTAACTGACGTCTGAATTTTGAAAGGCACGGCTGCGGGGTGATGTTTAAATAGTTATGCGTATTGAATTTCTTTAAGATACAAATCACATTGTGCATACACTTCCTTTGCATGTATAAGTATGCGGTTTGTCCTTGGGAAAGTTTTCCGTGGGGGGAAAAAAATTGAACGCTTCAGTTGCAGACCTGTAATTTTCCCCTTTGACTTACAGCAAGCCCTATCAGCACCCGATCAGCCACTGAAGGGCAGAAAAAAATCTCAGACGGGTCACTGCGTAAATCAAGGGAGATTTTTGTAGGGCTGAAATGAGTCAGTTGCCTACTGGTCTTGACTGCATGATCTTTTGATTCGTTTCCCCCTCCGTTCTGTCTGGCTTCGCCTTGTTCACTGGCTGCACGGTTCACTGCAGAAATAGGCCATAGAAGGGAGCCGTGATGAACGCCGAGCTGGTTAAACCTTGGAACTTCGCTACATGCTTCTACACTCTGGTATTTACGCAGTAGTGGCGAGAAAGACCCATGAATGCATGCCGGTCGCTCTTTGCGGGTGTAGCGGGTGGCTAAAGTCGTACAGACTTGGCGAAATGTTCCCACGCATATCATTGCATATCCAGAGTAGGATGGTTGAATAAAATGTTGTGTCCTATTTTGAACTAATATGGGATGCGATTTGTCCCTCCCCCACCCCAATCCACTTTGTCAGGATGCCATCCCCATGTTGAGATTTTACTTTCGAGGAACCCCCTCCCCCACAATCAGCAAATTTTATCGTAGAAGACCCCCTCCCACACGGAGGACCACACCCCCCGCTCTGCAATAGTCTTTTTCCGTGAGCGACTTGGCCTCCTATTCTTTCTTCAGCTTGAGAGTGACGCCCCCCTACTTCTTTGCCGCTTGGCCTCCCGTTTAACGTTCGCCCTTCCTGTCCCCCGCAGACCACTTCCTCACGCTGGATGCCCCGATGAACAACATAACGGCATCCCTGGGTCAGATGGCCGAGCTGCACTGCTACGTGTCGGGAAACCCCACGCCCACCATTCGCTGGCTGAAGAATGACGCCCCCGTGGTGCAGGAACCACGCCGCATCTCCTACCGCACCACCGTCTACGGCTCGCGCCTCCGCATCCGCAACCTGGACACTACGGACACTGGCTACTTCCAGTGTGTGGCTACAAACACGTATGACACGGTGTCCACCACTGGGGTGCTCTATGTCAGATTCGGTAGGTGTCTATTTCTCATGACTTACGGTCGAGCACCAGTCAGCATAGTCAGTGTGTTAAACTTTTCTACTGTCGCTGCCACCAGTGGTTAGCAGATGTGAACAGCTGAAAACCCCAAAATCCACTGTGGGCCGGATTATCATGCGCTAGCTGTCATCGAGTGCCTAACCTGCTTCCTAGTGGCTACTTCGTCACCATCCGTTGGCCTCAGCCAGGCAGTGATTGGCAGGGCACAATAATCCCACCCTAATTTCGAAGAATAATTTTTCCCTTGACTAGCTGATGATTTCATTCAAAAGCTTGTGATTTTCATCCAATTTTAACTGCTGCTACATTCTGTTAGCCAGAAAACTGGAGGTCTCTATAGGGGCTGAAACAAAAGTAGTTTCTATAAAATATCAAGCATATTTCTTTTATTAGCCTTTTTACTAAATAAAGCTATTTAGGTATCAGTTATGTCATTTTTATTCAGTGCTCCTTTCTAGGACATTTTCGTTTTTCTAAGCTTTGGTTCCTGGTCTCGCACAGCTCTGGGCTGGATGATTGAATCCTGCTCCTTATCCACATAAGTGGAGTGTGGATGTTCCTCCCACATACTCCGGCTTCCCTGCCATCTCTAAATTGCTCATAGTGTGTGAGTTTGCGTGCCCTGTGATGACCCGGCATCCCGCCCGGGGTGTGTCTCTGTTCCGCACCCAGTGTGTTCCAGGATCGGCTCCAAGGTCCGTGCAACAGAATGAGTAGCTGTAAGACAGATGGATGGAAAAGTTTACATTTAAGCATTTGAAGGCATATTTAAAAATTTTCCTCAAGAAGAGGTGCGAGACTGACACGTTTTGCTGTAACACTCCGTGTCTGCGTCATGGCTAATCGGCAGCACTCTGCTTGCATTCACAAAAAAACACGCAGGACAGTGTGGAATAGCATAGCCGTAAAGCCGTAATTCAGTCAGTTAACATTGACCGCTGAACTAAGGCCACTATACCCTTTATCTCCACCATAGAGACTTGTAACGTCTCTCGTGCGAGACATTAATGACACACGCCAGGCTCGTGTGCGGTCCTGAAATTGACTGTCACGGCGACTGAACAGAATGGATTTTCCACACTGCACAGCCTATAGCTTTAATGTATGCGACGTCTGTTCTGTACGGCACAGGCGGGGAAAGGTCCCCCTCCAGATGAATATAGCCTTCTGGAGCTTCAGGCCATGCACAGGGGAACCTACCCCCAGAAGCTGAAGCGTTAGGCTCTTTCAACCAGAAACCAAACACCCACTTAGCACAGTTTCAGTTACAGGACTGTCAATCTAAGTGGCTGTTTACTCAAGGGCACAAATTCTGAATTCAGGTCTTTGAAGTACAACATGCATCCATAGTGACGCCACCCCCACCCTCCCAGCCTCCCATGAGTGGTGCACGAAAAAGTCTAATTGCAGGTATTACACTATTGCAGGTATTACATTATTGCAGGTATTACTTCTAATTGCCTAAATAGTCAAGACAATGCACTGGAATCCTGAAGACATGTGGCTGTGTACTGTATAGGGCTTTTACCTTGCAAATCTAATTCTTTTCCCCACTGGGCCCTAAACTTCTTCAGCTCCTGAGGACTAAGAGATTAATTAATTTTGATTTTGTATCATAATCTGTATTTTAATAAAAAAAATTGTGCAAATTACAAAGGAGTTATCTGTAAGTGGACAAATTCAATTGCAAATAGGGTTTATTTCCATTAATGGGTCTCATGCGAATAATACTTCGCATTTATCATCCCGCCAGATTAAGATCTAGGTCTCGTACTTCAACATGGAGCTGCTCTTCAATGAGCTAGCAGCTGTAGAAGAACTAATTATCTTTTTTTACTTATGTCCTGCATAACTGCGAATTAGCAAATTCTTTTTTCCGTTGCAGTTTTGAAAATCACTTCTTTTTTTGAAAAAGGAAAGTTTCCTCAAAACTTGAGTGTTTCCATTAACGAGTTTCCAGTTTGCAGTTTTTCAGGGAAGCACCACCAGAACTGCATTTCCTAATTGACTGTCACCTGCTGTAGTTGTGATTACGCAGGGTGGGCCACAACAGTACGATCCAGAGCGCTGTGGAGCTGCCTTAGTAGTAATTGGGGGGGGGGGCGGGGGTATGCATGTGGCCCCCCAACAATAAATCTCTGCCTTCTCTTCCAGACCCGAATATCAACCCGGTCCCAGGAAGACCACCTTCGTAAGTCTGCTTGCCTTTATCCATTTCACTAGGACCCCTTCATAAGAACAGCATAGCCAACACAAATGAGCGAATGGGCTTAGAATTTACCGCCACTCTCTGGTCACGGGACACTTAGCAGTCAGTGTAAGAGGAAGTTAGATGAAAGCACTTAATGCTTTTAAGTTTATATTATAGCGAATGGCTGCTTCATGCTGTTATTCCACTGACTACAGTGACTGCAGCTGTTCGCTGCTTTTTAAAATCATGCTAAATGGCTTTTCGTCCTGGGGCTGCCTCTTGCTTTACAGTAGAAGCTGCCCTTGGTGATTTGATATCGTCGCCCCACTACACTCTACTTTAGTACATCGTTTGGAATTTGAGTCTTCCTTTTCTGGCCAGTGCCCTGGCAAATGAATAATTAATAATTTGATATCGACGTATGACAGTGGCAGATTGTGCTGTATTCCTGGGTAAATTATGTTGCTTTATTCAGCCAGCATTTATGAGTTTGATCAAGTATTTTCTGAAGCTAGATGAACAGTAGATTTATCGGTACTGATGTCTTCCAAGCGTTTGTATGGTTTAATCCCTGCATTCCACTGTATCTCTTGGTTCTGATTCAGTTTTAATGGATGGTGGTACAGTAAAATCCCGTTACAGTGTATTCGCTTATAACGGAATATCATCTATAACGAACGAGGTCCGCTGGTCCCCGCCGTGCGCCTTTAAGAACATGCAGGAAATGCATCGGATATAGCGGACTCGCATATAACAGAATTTCGCTTATAACGGACAAACAATTTGGTCCCCAGGGCCGCTTTTAGCTGTGGTTTTGTTCGTCTATAACGGACATGCAGCTCCACCTACAAGGCGCGTGGCTTGCCGGTGATATCCAGCGCAGATACGTATGTAGTCGGAATTATTAATAGTCGCGCATCTGGTCAGGTAAAGTTGGATTACTACAGTACATGTACAATATAATAATCTATACCACAAGTGTGTCTGCTGGGGTGTGGCATGAGTAAACGGTGTCCTGTAGTTGTGTTCTGGGCATACAGCAACTCTGGATATAACGGGCTCTGGATATAACGGTCTGTTTTGCCAGGTCCCTTGAAGTCCGTTATATCTTCAGATTTACTGTATATCACAGAGGCCTTGCCATCTGTTGGTCAGTCTCAATAGTCACTTATTTGGGTTTTGGTGATCTGGAGCCAACCACTGGAAGCATATGGCTGCTACCACGCTATGCTTAGCCAAATACTGGGACTGTGAGGGACTGTGCCGACAAAATAAAGCATGGCAGCCTTGTTATATATAACAGTGTGTGACTCCTACAAGAGGAAGGCTCAAGCCGCATCGAGCTTCACGCGAGTTTTTAAAGATGCGTTTGGCCTCCCAGCCGCGGTGTAATTGATAGGTGCGGTAATACCTCCACCGGGCACTTGGTTGTGCGTTTTCCTGAAATGACGCACGTCAAAGGTTCGTACCGCTTCTACTGGCCAGCAGTGGAAATCCCGGGATCAAGACACAGGCTACGGAAGTCGCCAGAATTTCCCACGCCTGTTTCCTTGAGATTCGGTGCGTGTCTACCTATTATGCTCTGGGATTAGCCTGTTTATGAGGCTGTATCTCAAACAATTCTGAGCTCAGGTTACTGTACTGGTAATCTGCCACGTGAAATCCCACATTTGCCTATTTAATTCTTAAATATCTGTCAAGTGATACGTCAGCTTTTTTAGTTGAACTTAGAGAATTTTGATTGAATAAAAAAGAAACAGGAAGTAGGGAAGAGGAAGTCAAGGTGTTGTGCAGGAAGGGCAGGCAGCAGGTTCAGTTGCTGAAGGAGAAATCTCCCTCCATCCAATGCCTAATTAATTCAAGGGATCTCCACCTGTAGATGAACCCACTACTTACTGGCATAATGCTTTTTTCTGTTATCTCAATTAAACAGTTGCACAAGGCATTTTTTGTGTTTTCATATAGCAAACATAAGCTTATGTATGCTGAGTAAAAGTCTTAAGGTGTCACTGTCATGGGGACTTCTCTGTGTTCTTGAATTAGAAGTTTCCTAACATTATGCTCTCCACACCCACTTTTGAAATCCACTATTGAGGCACCACTGGGGGTTAAGGACCCTGGGATTTGACCCAATGACCTTCTGATCACAGCCACAGCAACTTAAAGCACTGAACACACTAGCGGAAGGAAGGAACCGGAAGGAAGCCATCACCCGCTGCCCTTCTTAGTGATAGCCTTAAGATCTGAGCCTATGACCTACTGGATTCAGGCAGAAGACCCAAACCTACTGAGCTGCATTTAAAGGCTTCAAAAAATGACAGTTTTATTTACTAGGACCCAAGCTACCACTTCAGCAGGTTGAAAAGTTGCAGCGCTGCGAGCAGGATTCGAACCTGCGCAGGGAAACCCCATTGGATTTCAAGTCCAACGCCTTAACCACTCGGCCATCGCAGCCCTGATGGCCCATAGGACTGTCTCTGAGGACCATAGCTATGTTCGATAATTCAGCCCACAGCTGGTAGGTCCATCTGAACTTTGATTCTGAGTATGAGTTCACCGACGTGATCCAAGACCTACAGGTGAGCGGGTTCCCCAGAGTAGAAAACACTGTGGGGTAGCTTAGTATGAGCAGTACTCATGGACAATGCTCCTTAATGGTTATGGGGACCTTCATGCACTTCAGTTATGTTCCAGCCCAACCATAATGAGACGTGATTGCATTGTTTCAAAATCGGTATAATTATTGCATGTATTAACAGATTCCGTAAGATATGTACATGTCTAACAAAAAGACATATTATGTATGATTCATTCATTTTTGTTCTAGTTTCTCACTTAATTATTAAGTTTCTGAAATATTACAAACTATGATGTGATCACATAAATTTAGCGTAATTACATTCAATTCTTTATTAGCAACGAGCAAAATAAAGCTGTAAGTCTCAAAAATTGTACTGAGAGATGTTAAATTAAGTTAATGTCAACTCGTGGTCATATTGCATATTGTACAGCTGTTTTTATATGCACATGTTTACATGGACTAAAAGTTAGTGGACATAGACTTCGGACCAGGACTGAGAAGGTACCACTTTAGGACACATGGCTAGGTACCCAGTCCCCCCCCCCCCAGCTTAGTCGCAATCACAGGGAAATATGCAGATCCTCCTACTGTCATCGTATTTAAAAAAGTTTGCCCATAATAATAAAAATAATAATCCAGGCACTAATTGTTTTATTGTAATTATAAACACATTAATAAGGCCCCATGAATTTGAATAAATGACCCATAAATACCGTGTTTTTTATTATTATATTTCAGCGTTGAACTGTATTATTTTTCATAATGGCTAAAAAGATTTTTCCAGATCGAGCGTTCGCTGTAATTTGCGGAGCAATCACACTGTGAAATTGTCCATACACCTCGGGCTATTACGACTATAAAATATGAGTGATTTAGCTCAGGAGGGCGGCAGGAAGGTCTCGCTCCGGTCACCGCCCCGTTCGTTCTATTTAGTGTCGCGGTGAGCTGTGGTGTCGGCCCTCGTTACAGCGACGTGTCTGTTTATTCCCAGCGGGGCTCAAACTGGCGCGCAGTCCCTGGGCGGGGCTCAAACTCGCGCGCCTTTCTCCCAGTCGGACGTTCGCTGTTCGTTTTCCAGGAAAAAAAAAAGTTCATTTTCTGGCCAGTACAAACACACGCGGAGAAAAAATGTCTCCCTTTCCAGAAAAAAACCCGCTCTTTCTGCACCGGTTTCCTCCCAGAGGATGTGAGACAAACATTTTTAAAATATCGAGGCAAGAAGAATTATTAACGACGCTTCTTTTACATCCTGACTGGTAAAGGTACTTGCGTTCGCCGTACATTTATGCGCCATTTTTTGCCCTATGGTTTAGCTCCGGAGGAAGAGCTGTCGTTCGTGGCACTGAGTAAGGCAGATATGTTTTTTGCAATGACAAGAGCAGATGCCATTTTAAACGGACCTGCTTTTCGCGCTCCTGGCGAGGAATCACACACGGGAATTTAACAACACAAAAACGACACTGGATCTGTCATTTCGCTGTCATTATTAAAATTTTCTTTAAGTATGATTTATATGAAACGTCCATGATCCCAGCTATATAATATATAATACAGAGATATAATACTATTACAAGCAGTAATGTCTTCAGAGGGTACTTGTAGAGCAGATTATAGAAACATGACTGTCATCGAGACCACCCAGCTCTCCATACTCCAGTGCTGGAAGGCGTCTCAGTTGTAGTGTGCCTGCACTGCCCTTACTAAACACCAGAGGTGGAGATTTCAGGTCCAGAGAGTAATCCAGAAATCCAGACCAAGATTTTGATTTGACCAACCAGTCAAGTATAAAGAGTCACATTCACAGAGTACTCAGCTGGTTGGTTGAAACAAAATCTTGGTCTGGATTTGTACTCTCTGGTCCTGAAATCTCCACCTCTGCTAAACACTTGTGACCATAGTTGCAAAAATAAGGTATGGAGTAATGCCTGAGCTGGACTTCCTGGTTCCGGACTGATACACTGATATTTCCTTACAGATCGGACCCTGCGGTGGTAATTCTAACATAGCCAGTTTACAGGATGGAGATCCAGGGGGATATCTCTACTTTCTCCCCTAATGGATCTGACTGTATGAATTTAATGGATCTGAATTTAAACACCGGTGATTTACTAATTGTTTTTTGATTGACCCACTTAATCTTAATCCTGAACTTTGCACTTTAAGATTACCCTATAAATATAAATAATTATTTATTGGAATAATTTTCCTTTTTGTGAACTAAGAGCCCTCTTTGTTTAGGCATTTTGTGTAGACAGTACTCTGGGGCAGGAAGTGGGAGAATCACACAAACCCATCTGGTTTATGATAGATCTCAGTAAACTACTCAGACCATCTTTAGCACTGACCTCTTAGGTATCATTTTTGTACTTTTACCGATCTATCCGTCCTCATGAACAGCAATGTAAATATGAATATAAAT